ATTGAACGATTGCAGCAACTGCAGAATCAAGCGGTTAGACTAATGACTTTTAGTCTATTTTATTCATCCTGTAGCTCATTGTTTTCAAAGCTTAACATACTATTATTAAGACAACTATTTCGCCACCGATTGTCCACAGTAGCCTATAAACTCATCACGCATGATATTCTCATTGCAAGCATTGATCATCATCATTTGATTGATTTGTGGGGTTTAACGTCCCAAAACCACCATATGATCATCATCATTTAACTAACATCAATATTACCCGGTTTTTCCAGAGCAATAATCTTCTTTTGCCAGCCGTAAGAACAAACTGCGGCAAGTTCACAACCTTGTTTTACAAGCATAGCAATTTGGAATTCATGCCCTTCGAATTAGAATCATCGCACAACATTCATATTTTCACCTCGCGAAGCAAAAAATATTTTATGCAGGAACTGTTCATAGCTTTCAAGAGTTCAGTGCTAGTTTTATATTACCATTTGCCTGTCTACAACTTACGCAACTGATATAAAACTAGTTGTATTTGTCATGTACAGTTCTTTACTTTTGCGTTGTTCTAGTTTTATCCCGTGCTATTGATAGCTTTCGTATCTAATTTTATCAGTACTATCACCAACATGTTACGTAATTATTGTATTGTTACTGTTAATTAAGCTTATTAGTATTGCTCACAAATTCACACCTTATGCTGTATTTTTTTCTGTAAATACCCCATTCATATCGCCATAAGAGGTCCCCTCGTCAGTTTCTCTGAAACTTTGGGACCTCCTCTTGTACTATTCCAACCATGTAACCAAATGTGACATATGTAATAAACTTAACTTGACTTAACTTTATCTTTCGAATCAGAATTGCGAGTTGGGAAAGTTGGTGGATGTTCATCGTAGAATATACTTCACGGCTCAAGGGACGGACAGCCATGTGTTCCTTCTCTGTGCGTATCTAACCCGTCGCGCTGTAAATTATTCTGCAATGCAACCTTTCTTTCTTGTGCACCTTTCCCCGAAATTAACGTAACTGCAAATATCCGCACAAAGCAACATACTACAGCAAATTACTGACAATTCCAAAAGAAGTACGCCAGACCTGCAGCTACGCTATCTCTGCTGATTTGAGGTCGAGTGTAACAAGGGCATTTTTTCTTCCAAATTTTTAAACACTGGAACAGCTGTATACGTTTTCGATAATAGCCTCTCGCTCACGTCACCACCCCTTTCTTCTCCTTCCTATCTGTTAGAGGAGACGCGGGCCGACCCACTTGAATCTTCTGGTTGGGCGTGCTCCTGCATATTGCCGAACGCCGACAACTGATTTTGCATGGCGAGACGTCAAATATAATCAATACGCAAACACAAAACGCTTGTCTCGCGTGCTCGATTTTTCTCGTACACCGTGCAGTAAATTGAAGCAAGTAATCATTTTTTTTTCATTTTCGTCTGCTATTACATACATGTATCTTAGCGGTACAGACACGGGCAAGGTTATATAGATGTGGCGTTCTGTCAACAGGAATTGCAGTCAGTACAGTGACAAATGTCGCAACGGATGCCTCCAAGCTACGTCCTCTATCAATATTCATAAACTGGTTTTGTTCAGATCTTCGCAGGTGCGCTGTTTTGCAAAATAAAATAATTCTGAGAACATGTGACTCGAAACAGAAGTCAGCGCAAAATTCATTTTCGGCGTTTGGCGCACTACATACGTACAGCGATCCTCCCCAAGCTGCTTTACAGAAACTTCTATAGCCATTTTTTTAAGCCTAAATTAAACCTGTTCAAAAACGCACCCGCTTTCTGCGATTTGAGACGGGCATTGTGATGATAGTGAAAGAAAAGAAACAGTGGTTACGTTTTTATTGTAGATATTTATTGTTTGAAAATATTGTGCGTTACAAATTGTGCAACTATATTTCAAATGTTCTCTATTATTTTTAGTTAAACATTATGTCGACTGTATTATTACGTAATAGCCAAAATTATTTTGTTATACGCGCCTTTTCCTGAACTATAGGACAGTATACGATGATATAGGACGCGACAGCTCGGGGCCCTCAATCGCTACGCACTTAAATAGACACGCGTCGTCAATCTGATGTCTGATGTCTCTCTGAGCGCACGTGCGTTCTTGAATTTCGCCGCTAAATAAATTGTGACGACCGTACATGCGGAAATCGAGACAATGTCGTCGACATTGCAGCGCTTTACTCGCTAAGATACAACGCAGGTGTGTGGAAGAAACCAAACTCACCAGAAAAAAGAAAAAAAAACGGAGAACACAGCAGGTCAGTACAACATCAAGGTCAAGAAGCTGCGAACGTTTTGATGTCATGAGGTCATGTTTTCATGACGGTGAACGAATGTTTTCAAGCAAAACGGCTGCTAAGGACGCCAAGGCCACGCAACGCGCGCATAGAGCCTCCTGCTTGCCTCACGGCGGCTATACACTCTCCGAATTTTAATGAGGCCTTTTCAGTGTGATACGCAAGCCGACGGTGATTTTTTATTCATCCCTGTCTCTGCTCTTCGGCGTTACGTTTGCCGCCACGGAAGATACAAGGGAGGTATTTGAATCGGGCACCGAAGCGAGATTTTTTTCAAGAAAAACGGTTTCTTTTTTGCCTATGTGTGTAAAAAACACGGCTTTCCAATTGGACTCTTGCCTCATTTTGTGAAAAGTTGTTTTGCTCTCGTTTGTGCAGTAAGAGCTATAGGGTAAAATGAGTTACGACATGGGTGCAAAAGTTAAGCCTGATTCAGGGGCCCCTTATCTTCTATACCCCCACCATCCCCAACTCTTGAGCAGTAATCGTGGGTACGACAGGAGGAGCACGAAAATTATATATTTTTTGTCAAACGCACTTGACAAAATTCTTATATCACGAGGTATTGACACGGCGATGCCAGAATCAATACACGATGGCAGGACGTTGTGTTACAATGCCTTTACGTTGACGTCGAAATAGGTGTCGCCAAAAACAACGCATGCCGTGCTTCCGCATTCCCCGCTACTTTTGTGAAGTTTGCTTTTGCGCTAAAGCATGTATACCCTTACAGTGCACACTGTGTCGAGTTGTCCTATTCACCAGAAAGCGTGCCTAAAGTGTAGGGTACCTGTGAATCATGGTCTATTTGGATATTTCAAATACCTTTTGTGAATAATTTCAGGTGGACCAATGTCCGCGTTTACTGAAATTATGCGATATAGCTGGCAATTTACCCGGCTGTATGTCCACGGTGCAGTGGTATACAGGCCGACACCTCCACCCCATCTATAGGCGGGGGGTGCGACCATAAACCTAGTGACTTAGTCAATTCTTTTGGCATACCTCTGACACCTAGTATGGAGCAGCAGCCTGAGGAACAACTCGCGAGCTCGGCCCCGGGATTGCAGCTCGTGCTTCTATATCAAGTCCGGTGGGCGGCTAAGGCCAGTGGAGCCCTGGAAGTAGGGCCTCGACCTTAGAAGCTCCATATCCTCGTTTTTTGTTTCGCATCACTCCCCTTTCTCTCTTGTGTCTGATGTGACTCCTATTGTAGCCATACATCACTGACCAAACATTCCTATTGATTCTGGGTGCACACACAAGAAACAAGAGAACACGGACGCAGACCATTGAAGTTTATTTGCAAGTAGGAGTAATTGATATTTTAGACTGCTTTCCAGTGACCTCCAAAAGGCTTAACAAACCGCATAATAGAATGAAAAAGACACAAGGCTGCATTGAACACGCAGCACAGTCACAGCATAAGCTCGAGAAGCGGCCTTCACAGAACCCGTCGCAAACTATCTTCGGGCTGCCACTGCGCGAACAGTTTCAAAGGTATACTTGCTGCGCCATAACTATTACCATTTTGTAGGGTATGGACAGTACCAACTGTGCCGTTATTTATCTCACGCAGTAGCGAATGCTAACCTCGCGCTTAGAAGGCAATACGCGCGCCTATACTTTGAAAGCTTTGTTGATGCTGTGGTGGTGATGGGGAGGAATCACGGCTGAGTCATTTGTAAAAAGGCGAGAAGCTTTAAACCAAGTACTTATCGTGAAATTCTCATGTTTCGACACCTTGTGCGATTCCGGTATTCGGCCACGCTACATTAAATCTGTTGAAGAGATTTCTCGGCCGACATGACATTAATGGTATTTCACCAAAGACGTTTCACACACTGGTTCCGCTGTGTTTTAAACCAAGCGACTACCAAACAAGAAACCTGGCGTAGATTTCTGGTCGAACCCTGGGCTCTCCCTCTCACACTTTCACAATATGCGAAGTAGCAGAGCTGGATATTGACGGTGGACGTGGTAGGCAAATGTAAACCATCAAAATTAGTTGGGAGCTAATAACAGCTCACGCTTAAAAAAAAATCACGGCATATATACACAGAGTGACTGATGGTGAGTGGGACGAAGCGCCGGTCCATCTGTCCACGCGTCCGGATGATCGGAGGGACGGACATAAGCACGAACGTACGGATGGACGTATGTACAGATGGACAGAAGCATGGATGGACGGACAGACGGACGGACGGACAGTAGCCCAGATGGACGGACGGACGCTTCACCCCACTCATCAATAACTCCGTGGATATGCTGTGAAAACTAGTAACGCCATCTAGTTATATTATCCCCAAGGACATATACACACAACACCATCCATTGAGCAACTCATAAACTAGAGGTGACTTCATACTACAACTACAGAGGAGGGAACGACCCGCGGCCTAAGGAGCTTCGCCCCTAAAAAAGCGAAGAAACATTCCAATTATTTACCGTATTTGACGTACTATTCTCCCACCGTTGTTTTTACAAGCGCATAATGTGTGTCATGCTTTTGAAGCAAGTTGTTCCAATATATGGGTTCCTAAAACAAAACAAAACAAAACCGAAAGTTTGGAGATTTCCGGAAAAGGGCAATAATGGTGCCAAACTTTCGTTGAGGCAAGCGTAGCACAATTACTGGCAAGAAACACAAGTTCTCGTCGAGGCACAAACTGGGGAGTGGCGGGCAGGTAGTTATTTATTTTCGCATAAATCTTTGTCATACACGATGTGCTTTTCTGGTCCACAGAGCAAGTGAAATATGAAAAAGCAGTGTGACTTCACTTTGTCGACGGCACCTGCTTTTGCCCAAAGTTCACAGGCTGCAAGAAAAATAGAAGCGGAAAGAGACTGTAGAATGACGCCAATATGCTATAATAGTGTCATTAGGTTGAGATTTATCAAATAAGTTTGTGTAAGAGATGAACCCATACTTACCATCATTACGATGCGGTAGCCTCAGAATGTCACAGTTATTGTACTCGGAAAACGCTACCACGTAGTCCAGGACAAAATCTCTTTCTAATGAAAATAAGAAATATATGAGATCAGTTGTAGCATCCAGTAGCAGCTTGCAGATTAAAAGAAAGCATCACATGATTTCTGATAACGAAGCAGTGGCGAGACATACGAGTGCTTAATCGCTTCTTCCTTATCAAGGTTCAATACTGAGCGATATAGACTAAAAAATGCGTTTTTGGGCAAAACAATGGCCTATACACTCATACCATTATAGTACGCTGTTGCCTCTGGGTACCTATGCAATATAAAACACTTCTTTGATGCAATTGCAAGAGCACATCAGCGACACCAGTCTGCACGCTTCGCGTTCTTCATAAAATCGAATGAAAATCATTGATGGCTTGTAACAACTGCGATAATCCCCATACATGCAATGACGACGACCTCATCGACAGCTTGCGAAACCGCTACTATTATTCCTGCTTTCTAGATTTGCAATGCCAGTCTGTTACGTCTGTAATTTTATTTTTCACGAAGATAATGCGAGTAATGGCTGTGCTGCTAATGGGTGCTGTGACTACACGCTTGGTTGTTGTTGATTTTACTACACAAGCTTCATAAACCAGGAATCGGTGAGTTTTTCTTCGTCCAACTTTTCTTTCCCTTTTGTGCTGAAGTGTGTTCCTTTCTACGCACAAAGTCAATGGAGTGCCTAATTTGCCAGGATATTATCGGTAAGAAAAAAAGTGCAAAAACACAACATTAGGAAATGTTTTGTAATGCATGTAACAATAGCTAGCTGTCAGTTAGAATCTTGCTTACTCAGTGCAGTGTTACAAAAGCAGTGATACAAAAGCTGATCTACAAAATACAAAATACAAAATACAAAAGCTGACACTCAGAAGGAGTGATACAAAAATTACATAGGCGTTCCCGTAACAAACGGCCTCACGGAGACTACTCTCACTACCTACGCAACAAAGCTGTGTGAATCCTGAGGTAAATTGACTGCAACTTCCCACAAACCCGTTGAAACCAAAACGGTTGCTTTATGTTAATTTTACTGTAAACAAGTATAGGTGCACTACAACAAGTGAACCATTCTTTCGAAATTATATGTATCACTGCGGTCCACTTCATCTTATCTATAACTATAACCGAACTGCCACTGTAAGTAAAAAAAAATTAACCTCAGCCGACTATCACTGACTTATCACCGTAAACCATCGCGATTGTTCCTTTTTAAACCATTTTCAAATCACTTCTATTTAGTTCTTGATAAACCTATTTTGCCTTCCGCATCGCATAACACATCAATCATATCAGCACCAACACATAACATACAGTCGTGCCAAACAACGCCGTTTATCAGCCA